TCATTCGTTTTTTTTTTCGACAGAAAAATGGTCAGACGTTATAAAAAAATACCTGGAACGAGAAACTACCGTGATTACACTTTAGAAAAGCTGCAACAATGTTTGCAAGCAGTTGTTGGTGGTATGTCGATTGCAGAAGCTTCTCGGAAGTACAAAATCCACAGAAATACTATCTCTAATAAAATTCACAAGAAACACGTGAAACTTCCTGGTAAACTATTATTTTTCTTCTACAAAGATTTTTCTAATGACTTAATCAAACGATTTAACACATAAAAATATATTTTATAGGACATCGGGTAATTTTGACAGAAACTGAAGAGCAAGTTCTGTCATGTTCATTCAAGGATGTTATGTTCAAATTTAACAATATTATAAATGTTAATGAATATGTAATAATTATTATTTTTAAAATTTCATCCATTTCAATGTTTAAAAATGTATATGGTTTCCTTTTGTTTAAACTCAAATGTTTTGAAATAAACATTCTTTTTAAGAAAAAATTCTTCAAAAAAAATGGTTTTTTAACGCTGAAAATTATTTTCAAACTAATATCTTTACATATCTTGATGTTTTTGTCTTTAAAAATGTCAACAATTAACTTTTTTAACAATTTTATATCAATATTTTACTAAAAACATGATTATTAAACTGAATTCCTATCGCTGCACAAAGTAGCCCCATTTGGGGGCTACTTTGTGCAAGGTATGTTTTGACTTATTATTCGTAAATATTACATACAAATAATGCCAATATTGATCAAATTCACTCGTCTGAGTCCAGTTATGAATATAATATCGATAAATTTTACTAAAGTTTGAATTAACATAGTTTTTTTACATGTCAAAGTTCAAAAGCTGCGAAATCCTGCACAAAGTAGCCCCGAATGACGGTACATTTAACAATAAAGCTATTTCAAGGAAAAAGTAACAATTTATACTACTCGTATAAGGAATATTTTTTATTAATATGAATAAAAATCAAACATAAACATAAATAAAAATCAAAATACCTTTTTTATTAACTATTCTTATTTTTTGCAATTTTTCTCTTGTCTTAAAATATATGCTATGTTAAAACATATCTTTAAATCAAGAACTGTATAATGTTATTTATGTTGTGAGAATAACTAAAATGTGAGAAAAACTATAGAGAGAATTTTGAAACATAAGAAGTTTCGAAAGCCATTCACTTGACAGTTCTTACTTATGTGAAGAGTGAATAATATACCTTTTCATTTTTTTTAGTGTTAAAAAAACTGTACACGTGTCTTAAAAATAGCCTTTTTAACTGAAAGCTTACAACGGAAAGAAGATAGTTCTTATGACTGGCAGCCCACAAGAATGTTTTCCAGATAAGTTGCAACTGTTTTAAAGAAAAAATGAATGCCATAAATCTTTAACTGATTGTTTCTCCTGGTGGTTTAAGCTTTCACAAATAATTGACAGTATTTCTCTTTTCCAAAAGAATGATTGTTTTTTCTCTAAAAGATGATTTATGTGCCTCAAAGTAAAGCAATATTCAGTTGAGATTTGCATAGTTTTTGTAGAAATTTCAAAACTCTTTTGACAGAATAAAGTGCTTATTTGAGACAAAATATTTACATGCTGGACTATGGCATATGGGATTTTAATAAGTTATGTTCATTGTCATTGTTTGTTATAAATAAACGAAAATTTAAAAAAAAATAGAAGGATGTACCAATATGAGTAATTAATAGTAATGGGTAGGGAGATAAAAATATTTTTACAATTAAAATTTTCTCAGAGTTTATATGAAATTAGAACTTATGCATGAAAATGAAATAAATATTTATTATAAGCATTCTAGCTTTATTTAATGAACAATGGGCTTTTAAAATCTTTAAAAAAATGCTCTTTTCTTTTTAATATATTTTTATACTCTTAGATAATAGAAGTCAAACTTTTTTTGTCTTATATAAGCTGTTTCATGTGCCAATTTTCATTAAAAAACGATGGAAATTTAGTAACATATTAAATAATATAGCCTTTTAATTTCATGTAATAATGCAAAACAATTTTCTTAATTATTTTCAAAATGCTTATTAACAAATAAAGACTAGAATAAATGTGACATGAAATTATTATATAACTTATGATTTATAACGAAACGTTTTCTTTAAAAAAGGACTTTTTCGACAATTTTTCATTTTAAATAGCGTTTTGTGCAACCTTTAACATATTCTTTTAAAACTATTTTAAGTAATGTTTGTAGTAATACTTTTTGTGGCCAAATTTTTAAAACAGATTATGTTATTGTTATAAAAAATGTAAAAGCCAGAAATTTTTCATAAGGTTTAAAAAAACAATATAGTTTAAATAATACCTCATTATTTTCTTTATATTTTTAATACATCAGATTAGCTGTAGACATATATTAGTCACAAGAATTAGACTTATGGCATTTAAAAAGTTTTAAAAATTATTTTAAAAATTATTAACATTTCCTTAAAAGTTTATTTCATAAATTATAAATCTGCCTGACATAAAATGCCTTACGACTATGCACATTTTTTGGATTTAAATCATATCTTAAGATTTGGTAACTAATAAACTATTTTAATAAAAAACTTTTTAACAAATTAACTATTCTATTTGTAATTAACTATTAAACTATTAGGATCAAATACTACTTTCCTGAATTCTCTTAAAAATAAATTAACTTTCAAATAAACTTTTGTTAAAAAATTTAGCACGGAAAAGTCAATTTACTTCACAATTAAGTTGCCCATTTTTAAGCGAGTTTCTCGATATTGGTTTGGGATTCACACTGTGCGTTAAATATTTCTTTTCCCTTCATCAAGATTTCCAAAATATTTAAGCAAAGTTAATTGTTCTAAATTCACCTTCTAATACTTCTTTTACACTTGATATCGATTATACGATCAAAATTTGGTTAAAATACGGGGTCTGTAAATCGAATAATGCATATAATTTAAAAGAAATAAAATTTATGTATAGTTATTTAATAGAACTTTTAGATGAATTTAAAATTAAAAGTTTTTTCAGTACCATTGCTAAAATTTTCAAATTCAATAACTAATTAAATGGTATTCAGGTTTCAAAAAATGATTTTTTTAGGTATTTTACTTTCCTTTATCTGAAGGATACTTTTCATGCTGCTAAAAATAACTTTAGTTTTTTATTCTTATTTTGCCTGATCAATGAATTTTATGAAAATTTTTCAATTTTCGTAACAGAAAAGGCGTTAAAGTGTGTTAGTACCAAAAAGGTGCACTGTAAACAATTCCAGATCAAATTACATTAAGAAGTATCGGCACTTTGCATCATCCGTAAAAACTATTTTTACAGTAAAATCCACTTTTACCGTAAAATACCGCAATTTTTCAGTAACATGTAGATAATTAGAGTAATTTGTTTAATTACTGTAAAAATAATGGTTTATCAGATTATTTGCTCCATAAAATGTTCTGGTAAAGATGCATTTTACGGTAGAAAGTAGCGTCAACCTGAGTACCGGTACTTTTTACTGTAATTTGATCCGGAATTTTTTACTGTGTAAGCACAGCTTTAATAGATATTATTTAAAAATAGTACCTTAACGACAGTAGATTAAACTTGTTTTATCAACTTATTTTTATAGAGGAAACGTTTTCCTACAGAAGATTTCAAAGATTATGTAATTATTTACCTTATGCCTGAATCTTCATACATGGGAATAATATTGAAGAATAAACATGCTTATAATCCGACAAAACATTTGGAAAATAATAATTTCTTTCTTTTCTAGTTTTTGCTAAACACTTTTAAGACACAGATCTGAAAGTCTTTCTTTATTTAACCTATACCATTAAATGAAAAATTAATATTTATATTTTTTCTAGCATTTTTACTTTTAGCAACGATTTATTTGTCACGTAAAAGGTTTTGTTTTAACATTTTTGTACATTGTTTTATCATAACAGCAAACGTTTTATTTTTGCACCATAAATTTATGTTATTGATTTCAGTTAACACTATTCCTATTATATATATAACACATTAATAAAAATCCTAATAACAAGCATTTATTACCTGATTACAGACAATTATATCTTAAAAATTTCAAAAGTACAGATCATAAGAGTAGATCGATGAATAAATAAACTACGACGATATTACACCAAGCTGTTACTTTATTTTACCAACCTTAAATACCTTTTGGTTACCATCTGGCTTTAAATCCTGCTCTCATTTTTCTCAACATGGACTTCGCAAGATGCTGATAAGTGGTTTGTAGCAATTGAAAATTTAGAATTGAACAATTCATTTTGCAATTGTAAGAGACAGGGTGCTTGTAGTTCAAGATGTCAAATGGCTCTTTCATATGAGAAATACCGATTATGATTGGTATTTGGGGATTGCGGAGGATAATACAACAAAATGAACGATGTTAATAGAGTTTTATAACATCTGAGATAATGAATAAATAGGTTTGATTACTAGTAGTTGTTTCATTACTAATAGTTTTCAATCCCGTGAGACAGAATGGTTATGCTTGTAGATGTGGGATGGCTGTTTAAACTTCCATAAATTTTTAATTCAGTTGGAATGTGGAGATTGTGTAGACAATTCCAAAAAAGTGAATGATTCGAATTGATCATTTGTAGAATCCGAGACTAAGGTTCGATAATAGGATTTTAAAATCGTTTGAGACTGGATAGTTATAAATATAGATGACGAATGGTTCTTTCAACTTCATACCAGAAATTCTCAATAAATTTGATATCTGGAGGACGTGGGGGTTAATAGCCCCTTTCATATTTTTTTTAACCTGAAATATAGAGAGACTCATTATATTATTGGCAAGCAATAATGTTTAGGCATGGTGTCTTTTTCCTAGTGTAAATATACACATTAAATTAAAGTCCTGAAGTAATGATTACTTTAAGCTAGTTCTTTAGGAATTACACTGTGACATAATAGCTTATTTGCATAAAACAGTTATTTGAAAATAAAGAAGTGGCTGCTCGCTGGATTCATGGGCATTCAAAAATTTTACTAGAAATATCATCATATATTTTGAGTTCAGTAGCTATTTTTTAAGGAATAAAAAAACTTACTTTTATCCGTCCAACATTTAACACTCTTTGTTTCCTGGGAATCTTCTTCAATTTTTCCCAACTCTTTTAAACTTTCATCTGCTGAATAAAAGTATAATATTTAAACAAAACAAAAATATTATAATTATACACAATGGAAAAAAAACATTAAATCTTCATATAATCAATGACATAGAAGGTTTTCTCAATACAGAAGCTTTCAAGTGATTGGAAAATAATTGTTGATAGAAAAGCTTTTAATGAATTACAAAATAACTGTAGCCCTTAACAGTAAAATAGTTTCTAATAACATATGAATCATTTCTTTTTTTCCACTTTGAATGTACAGCATTAATTAAGTAAGGCCATTAAATACCTGCTGTCACAGTTTAGTGGACTAGATGAAATCTCTCTCGAAATGTCAAAGGGATGAAATAAATAATGAAGCTCAACATTATTTTCTAGAGATAGATGTCTAGAATGTGGACAAATTAATTGTTGAAATTGTATAAATAGTTGTAAATATACTACATTTCTAAGATTAAGCGTCTTTGGCACGTTACTAAAATGAGATTTCAAATTAATGAAAATATATTGATTTGAAACATGTGTATGATTTTAATTCATATTTGTCAATTCAATAGTAATTGTAATGTCAGGAACTTAAATATTAAATATTTATTCGTTTCATATTCAATGCATTAGCACATTTATTAACTCCTATGAATGATGGAAAAGTAAAAAAAAAAGTCATATTTTATCAAAATGTTAATAGGGTAATAAGATGCATATTAGTTTATTATAATCAGTGTATTAGAACATTCATAATATTTATGATATTCATTGTATTAGAACCCTTATGAAATCTTTTGAATAATTGAAAAGTAAGAAAAATAAGACGCAAATTGTATAAAAATGTTAATAGATTAATGAGATGAAAAATAATTTAAAACATGAAATAAAGTTACAAGATGAAAGTAGATTTTAGATTTAGATTAGATACTAATAGGGGCAAAAACAAATGAGGCTATAATATGCGAATGAGGTAATAAGATAAAAAGGGGGAAGGGTGAAAAACAGTCATATTGAGTAACGAGATGCATCTTGAATAATAATAAGATAGATAAGTTAGGAAAGGAAGCATACATGTGTGAGTAATTTGATCAGCATGAGACTGCTTTCAAAAATTTAAACACCTTACTGCGTGCAGTATGTGACATTCTATTTCATCTTGTCCTTCTGACTATGCGTAAATATATATATATATATATAT